TACGTTAATTTAAATTTAATTTGTTAAAAGGGAAGAGATGTAGTATATCGATTTGTGTATTTGTTAAGTGTTTATGACTAATTACTTATTACGTTTGTTATATATTATATTATGATGATGTAATGTGCGGATTGTTCTTGTTTAGTTGATGCCGTGACAGTGAAGTGAACGGTACGGTGCAATATACGAATTAGGAATAGATTGTGTATTATTTATACCAACCCCTAAGAGTAAAGTGGACACTACAGATATTATACAAAAAATTACAAAAATCTAAACAAAATTTTGACTTACGACCCCTTACAAAAACTTATCTTTAAAAAAGAACAACCTTCATCTCAATTTAAAATCAATGAACTATATATTTATATTATATTGATATATTGGTTTTAAACAACAAAAAACTATTTTATAAATAAAAGTGGACTAAACAAGTTTGAAGAAATTTAGTTAAGAAACTTAAAAATTAGCGAATATTTATTTAAAAAATCCCTAATTTCGATGCCTTTATAAAGCTTGTGGGGAACAAACCCGACAGTTGGCAAGAGTGGTCCCCAAGAAACAAAAAGTTAGCAGCACTGGAGAGAAATGTCAATCATAGATAATAAATAAGAGTTGGAGTAGCGAGCCGTACCCAATTTTTACAATTTATAGTTCGGGGAGTAGCACTGAACACTTCACTTTTTTACGCAGTTCAAAAGTCCAATTATTGTACACTGTCGTACAATAAAGAAAATATATTGAAATTACATAGCAAGAGTGGTTCCATCTATCGCGTTTAGCATACAATCAGCAAAGAAAATGTAAAATTACAGGTCACTGTAGAATAAATTTATGTACTATGCTCCACACTTCAAAGTCCCACCACGTGACCACGTACGGAACGTAGTCTTTTGATAATTTGTCATTTAAGGCTTTTCAGGTTATGTATCTGTCAAAGTATAGTCAATGCAAGAAATAATATTTATATTGTTACCATTTATCTTTAAGCGTTAAAAGTTTATAAATCTTTATAGTATCACAGTAACAATGGTTGGTTTAATGAAAATCTAAAGTGTATAGTGCCAAATAAGTAAAATTTTTGTGCATTTGGTCTACATATATCTGGTTTTATCCACTAAATAGTTTTAACTAAACGGCATTTATTAAAAAAATTTAGCTTGTCTATTATGGAATAAGAATATCTGTATCAAAGGTAGATTAATATATTATAACAAAAAATATCATCTAATTTTGAAATTTTAAGGTTAGAAAAATCTATTTTGATCAAAATAAATAAGTATTTTGGATTATTTGGAAGAGTTTGTTAATATGGTCATATAAATATAGATATACTAAATAATTGTTGAATATGGTTCAAATTAAATTAAAGCTTTTATACTCCTAACAACAAAACTTGTGCATACCCAGACAGCACATATATCCATTGGACGTTCAGCGGACGACCATTGTACATCCAAACGTCCAATATAAGTCCATTTGACGTCCAATGGACATCTTGTGCTGTATGGGTACCTTTTGGGATCCCTACTTTAAGTTAGATTATAAGGAAACAAACAATTTTTAGAGATACATGCAATGTAAAAATATTTAATACTCCCATAACATGCGATTTTTTAAATTTTTAAAAGTTATAATGATTTTTCTATGAAGATAAAATTCAGTTGAAGCTTTATACGTAATTGTATTGACAAAACTTCATGTAGGTATACTTTAAGCTGGATAAGAAAGACTACTACAAGTAAAAATATTAGATAGAGTATACTGTGGTTTTATTTAAATTTTAGAATTTATAAGGTTATTTATACCTAATGATTGTTCGATGTAGATAAAATTTTGTCGAAGCTTTTATAGGTACTTGTATTGACACTATGGGTATATTAGCTGAGCTGAGTAAGGAACTATGTTATGGGAGTATTAAATATTTTTGCATTGCATGTATCTCTAAAAATTATTTGTTTCCTTATAATCTAACTTAAAGTAGGGATCCCGAGAGGTATGCACAAGTTTTGTTGTTAGGAGTATAAAAGCTTTAATTTAATTTGAACCATGTTATATATTTATATGACCATATTAACACACTCTTCCAAATAATCCAAAATATTTATTTATTTTGTTCAAAATAGATTTTTCTAACCTTAAAATTTTAAAATTAGATGATATTTTTTGTTATAATATATTAACCTACCTTTGATACAGATATTCTTATTCCATAATAGAGAAGCTAGATTTTTTTAATAAATGCCGTTTAGTTAAAACTATTTTATGGATAAAACCAGATATAATATATTAACATATTATGTAGACCAAATGCACAAAAATTTTACTTATTTGGCACTATACACTTTAGAATTTCATTAAATGCAGTATTTATACTCCTAAACTCTTAAACCAACCATTTTTACTGTGATACTATAAAGATTTATAAACTTTTAACGCTTAAACATAAACGGTAACAGTATATATATTATTTCTTTCATTGACTATACTTTGACAGATACATAACCTGAAAAGCCTTAAATGACAAATTTTCAAAAGACTGCGTTCCGTACCTGGTCACGTGGTGGGACTTTGAAGTGTGGACCATACTGCCGTGCTTAATGAAAACGCCGTAACCAACAATTTTGAGATTTTTGTTTTACGGCATTTTCTACTAGAAAAATTCATCCTGCGTCTATCCCCGGTACTCAAAAATATATATGAAATATAGATACGGTTTTTTTGAGTACAGGGGATAGACGCAGGATGAATTGTTCTAGTAGAAAATGCCGTAAAACAAAAATCTCAAAATTGTTGGTTACGGCGTTTTCATTAAGCACGGCAGCATAGTACATATCCTCATAGATAACAAATTTCAAACATCAAACCTGAAAAAATGTCACAAACTCTATAATTTCAATGTAAGTTACAGCCCCAATTGGAACTCACCAACTCCCGATTGATAAAAGAAAGGGAATTATTTGTTAATGGGGGTAAACATGGTTACAATGTGCCTACGAATTCTTTAAAACCATTCCTCCAACTAGTGTAAAGTCGAAAGATATCGTTCGTTAGTTTGTTTGTTCCTATATTTTAAATTGGTCCCGAAAGGCCCGGGATGGGAAAAAGGGCTCGGGATTGACACCCCTAACTGGCACACACAAAAATTCATAATTTCATAAAAAACGTTTTAAAACGGAAATTTTTAAGCAATACGCAAATGATTGATATTTTTTTAATAACACATCAGAATTACGCCTTAAAAAAGCAAATTTAACGGCAGTAACTTTATAATTCAAAGTTGATAATAATAATAATAATAGTAATATTAATAATAATTTACAAATCTGTATTTTTGGCAGTACTTTCAGGATAGTAAAAAAGTAAGAAAAAACCTCGTTTGAATTTTTTTTTTAAATTGTGAGTTTTTCCCACTTTTTTAGGATTTGTTCTAGTTTTTACCACTTTTTTTAGGATTTGTTCTATTTTTTTTAATTAAAAGTGGTTGGGGCTCAGGTTAAAAATTAATTTAAAATTATGAGTTTTGACCACTTTTTTAGGATTTGTTCTAATTTTTTTAATTAAAAGTGGTTGGGGCTTAGGTTAAAAATTAATTTAAAATTTGAATTTTTGGGAGTACCTACCTTTAGGATAGTAAAAAATTAAAAAAGAACCTCGTTTAAATTTTTTTTTAAATTATGAGTTTTTCCCACTTGTTTGGGATTTGTTCTAAATTTTTTATCAAAAGTGGTCAGTGCTCAGGTTAAAAATCAATTTAAAAATCTGAATTTTTGGGAGTACTTTTAAGATAGTAAATCATTATATCGCATTGATGAAGTGCACCCATACACATGTTAATTTTGTGCAATGTGGATGATCGTTTTGTATTATTATAAGTATAATTACAACCACGTATTTATTCCACTAATTACGAGGTCCTGAATGAGGCTTGACACATAAAACAATTTTATCTCCACGCGGTCTATAATTTAAACTTTATTGTTCTCAACATTCGATAAAGAAATACCTTGTTATAGCCTAGGCCGATAAAAATTTATATGAGGCAAGTTAGTTCGATTTTTTCTCGCTAGGGGTATTGTTTTGACAAATTAATCCTTTTCTAAAAAATTAACATACATTTATTTATAATAAGCACTAATTTGTTTGTTTTACTGTTTAATATTTTTCATTAAATTATTGTAAAATTAAATATGAATAATAAAACAAAAAGTGAGGTTAGGCAACCAAGAAAACGCACGATTCTTTTTCTACGATTTAAATTATCTTTAAGTTTTAATTTGCTTTAAGTTTTCAGTGAAATTAAATGTTAAACACAGCTTAAACATTCCAAACTACCTATTTTTTAAATAAAAATCCAAACAAATTGAAATTAGATACCTACCTATTTATTAAACAATTAATTGAATTCAATGTAATAGTAAAAATCCATTTCTACTTAAATCATGTTGCTAGGTATTGTCAAACTATTACTGCTTCTAAAAGCAATAATAATTATTGTACATTTAATGTAATCTTTATCTAACCTACCTATTTATTAAACAATTAATTGAATTCAATGTAATAGTAAAAATCCATTTCTACTTAAATCATGTTGCTAGGTATTGTCAAACTATTACTGCTTCTAAAAGCAATAATAATTATTGTACATTTAATGTAATCTTTATCTAATAAATAAATGAGATTCTAAAAAAGTGAGGTTAGGCCGCTTTGATGTTGAATTAAATTGACCTTTATAAAGTGCTTTTAAGATAAAATGTTGTATGCCATTCGGCCAAGAAGTGCCTTTTTGTGCTTCGCTCAATTGTAGGCCTACGCTACGCGTCGGCCTTCAAACCTTGAGCTTAGCACAAAAAGCCTTACTTCTTAACCTAATGACATAAATAGTCGGCGTCGGCCTTCAAACCTTGAGCTTAGCACAAAAAGCCTTACTTCTTAACCTAATGACATAAATAACTATTATGCAATTTTGAAACTTATTAACGGCAACAATATGAGAACAGAACCTTCACGGACCGGATGCGGCACGTCGCGGGCTGATCGAGAAACGACAGGCGCTCACCTCACTCGTAACCTACAGGCCGGGCAGGGTGGGGAGCGTGCGCGTGCCCACCGGCGCCGGGGCGGGCGTCCTGCCGTCCGGCGGCCCGGCGCAAAAGCCGAGGCCGAACGCCGGCGTCCAGGTTTACGAGGAGCAGCGCGACGGAGCTTACGGAGGACCTGAGGCCGCGCCTCAAAGCATACTGAGCGTCGCCAGGAGGCAGGACGCCCCCAAAGAAAACACCATGAAGCCGGGCCCGTGGAACACGGCGAGCGCCAGGAAGAAGGTTGCCGTGCACAGAAACACCTTGGGATTTACAGGTACTTTTTTATTTTTTTTTTATTTATTAAACCCAAAAAAACATAAATGTTATAACAGGTATAAATTCAACATAAATACAGGGTGTCTTACCAGCGATGGTACCTTAGACGTTTACGGAGAACGGCTGAGGATATAAATTTGAAATTTTTATAGCAATTATTGTACAATTTAATCTACGTTTTAAAATTATTTTAAATAAAATTCCTCTTCCGGTTTAACCGGAAGCGACATCAACTTTGTTATTTCCAATGTAAATTTTATATTTTTAAATTCCTCATGAAATTCTTAATGAAATTGCTGTACCATTCCCTATACCTAAACTTAATAGTTTTCGAGTTAATAATTTTTTTCGTAAAATTTTGACAGTTGCACCTTCATTAAAAAGTTTTTTGATATTCGGTTTGCTGGTATGCTGTAAGGATTTTTGGAATCTTAAAACATTGTTTTAAAGATTCCATGTCTGAAACTTTCATATTTATAATCAAAAACCAGAGAAAAATCATGGTAAATTTGGTTAATTTCAAACATTAATAACTTGTTTATTTTCATGCATACCGTCATGTTTTTACATAATCAAATAGGAAAATGAATTACATTTCGATTTGTATCACCATTCCCTATACCTAAATAGTAAGGTTTCGGAAATACAAGCAAATTTCTGTAAAAATCCAATATTTTGACATACAGGGTGTTATGTAATTAATGTTATATATTAAAATACTGACATAAGGTGTAATGGAAAAATATTTTAAAAGATATTTTCCCAAAGATAAAGAAAATATATGCATTAGAAGTTTTTTATATTTTTTGTGATACGCCACTGGTTACACACTTGTGTTCTCTCAGTACATAGATACAAACCAACAAAGTAGCTGCGCGTTGCCAGTTGTACAAAAATTGTTACTAAAAAATTTTCTTGCAAAAAATAAATAAAAACTCAATAAATACAAAAGTTTTATGCCCTTAAAGCTCTAATACCATTCTGTATTTATTTACTCATCCAGCTATTAACTTAAGCAATGATAAGAAAAATTAGTACCTACCTATTTAAAAACTCCATAAAATTAATTTTTTCATCGGTTTTTTTCTTTCTGTTTACTCAGATGAAATTAGGACAAGTTCACAGGTTAATCGTTAAACATTCAATTTGTGTAAATAAATCCAAACTCCCAAAATCACTTCCCTTAGTTAAGATATTACAATTTGCGCACATAACCTACAATTTGACAGTGTTACCAACGGTTGGTAACCAACCATAACAACATAAATTGGACAAAGTAAATCATTACGAATTATGATTAAAGTTTAAATCTGGTGTGTCTAAATTTAAATATATTTTTTATAAGTATGTTTTTAAATCACAATGTTAAAACGATTTTTAAAAAATCATTAGTTTACACAAGGTCTAATTCTAAAATCTAGCGGTTTCAGGTTTTTATTTTTTTTCAAGTTTGTGCAGGTTTTTATTCTTTTATAAATATTTGAAAGTTTGAAAATTTGTATTTCAGTTGTATAATCTGTGTTGTATTTTATTAGTAATAATAATAAGTAATTTGTGCGAAAGATTTTATGCTATGGCGTTTTTGTACGTGCTGTGCAAAGTTTAAGGGACTGCGGAAGATTTAGCGCATTTGTTGGTGATAGGGGTCGGGCTCAGGGACGTGAATTTGTGGCCCTTGAAGAATAAATTTTGGACGAAGTGGAAGCAAATCCGAGAATTAGTACAAGACGATTAACTGCCCATGGGCAGTTGCAACTTGGACAAATGTCCAACTTTGTTACGTGGCGCACGATTCACGAAAATAGTTTGTACCCATATCACCTACAAAAAGTTCAAGCTCTTCAGGATGGAGATTATGAACTGCGGTTGGAATTTTGCCATTGGTATATACAGAAAAATCAAGAAGATGCTGATTGGACTCGTAGTGTTTTGTATACCGATAAGGCCACATTTACGAGAGACGGGATGTGGGCAGCAACTCAGGAACTTAATTGTAAATAGTCCAGACATTTTTACGCGGGTGCGCGAAAGCATGCTTCGCAGAGTTTAAGCTTGCATTCTAAATAATGAAATCATTTTGAGCATCTCATATAAGGTAATACATTTTTAATTTTACATTTGGCAACACTGCATTAAAAAGTAATAGGTTAGGTTAATCTGCAGTTCCTAGTCGATCAGTGGCGTACTTTTTGGTAGGATAAAGGTTATTATAAATTATTTTTAGTCTTTGGAATTTAGAAAAAAAAAGTTTCAGGTGCTTCTTTATGGACCCTAAGGAACTACCCATTTTAATATATAACATTAATTACATAACACCCTGTATTTATCTCAGATACCGATGAAATGTCACAACAAATTAGTTATGTCATTGATTGACAGTTGATACATTTCTTAAGGAAGATATTTTAAAAATAATGGAAAACAACAATTAAACAAAGTTTTGAGAATTTAATTATTATAAATTATAAAAAACGTGATGGAAAAAATAACAACCAAAATCCAATATTTTGACATATTTATCTCAGATACCGATGAAATGTCACAACAAATTAGTTATGTCATTGATTGACAGTTGATACATTTCTTAAGGAAGATATTTTTAAAATAATGGAAAACAACAATTAAACAAAGATTTGAGAATTTAATTATTATAAATTATAAAAAACGTGATGGAAAAAATAACAACCAAAATACTATTTTAATAAATGTTCAAAATGGCGACCATTGACTTTTACATTTTAAAATGCGGAGCCTGGGAGATTCATTTGTGACATTTCATCGGTATCTGAGATAATGTCAAAATATTGGATTTTTACAGAAATTTGCTTGTATTTCCGAAACCTTACTATTTAGGTATAGGGAATGGTTATACTAATCGAAATGTAATTCATTTTCTTATTTGATTATGTAAAAACATGCATACAGTTCCATTAAAAATAAACAAGTTATTAATGTTTAAAGTTAACCAAATTTACCACGAATTTTCTCTAGTTTTTTATCATAAATATGAAAATTTCAGACATGGAATCTTTAAAACAATGTTTTAAGATTCCAAAAATCCTTACAGCATACCAGCAAACCGAATATCAAAAAACTTATAAGCAATTTTTAATGAAGGTGCAACTGTCAAAATTTTACGAAAAAAATTATTAACTCGAAAACTATTAAGTTTAGGTATAGGGAATGGTACAGCAATTTCATTAAGAATTTCATGAGGAGTTTAAAAATAAAAAAATTTACAGGCTGTTCCATTGGAAATAACAAAGCTGATGTCGCTTCCGGTTAAACCAGAAGAGGAATTTTATTCAAAATAATTTTAAAAGGTAGATTAAATTGTACAATAATTGCTATAAAAATTTCAAATTGATATCCTCAGCCATTCTCCGTAAACGTCTAAGGTACCATCGCTGGTGAGACACCCTGTATAATATAATATAATATTTTATTAAATTTTCTTTTAATTATTTATTATAATTCGAAAACTAGTACATGAAGACGGCTCCGACAGCCCGGAACCGGTGGACTTCCACAGGACCGTTCCGCGCGAATGCCTCGAAGACTATTCGAACTGGAAGCCGAACATCCACTTTCCGGAGCCGTTCGATGCGCGAATGATCCCGATTTACCCGAAGGATCGCGTCTACATCGACCCGAACACCGAGTACAGCATCGACGAGCTGCGCGCGCACCGCTACCGCAAGAAAACCACCAAGAGCACGAGCTTCTCCAACACGTCGCTGATGGAGCACTCGCTGCTGCAGCAGAAGTTGGAACAGCAAACGCTGCCCAAGAACACGATGGAGCACTCCCATCTCTTCCCCAGTTTCGATAGGTAAGATTTTCAATCACGTGAGTTTCACAAATTGTAGCTTTTTTTTTAATTTTGTATCTTAATGAATTTAAATTTTTTGTCAGCAATTGTATGCTTATTTACGAAAACATTTTTATGTGCCGCCACTTTTAAAAATTATAAAATTTATTTTTGAAGTTTTCAAGTCGTAATAGTCTAAAATTTTATGCAATAATAAATTAAATAATTTTTTCTACTCCCACCTTTAAAACGCCCATTATCGTACATGTTTCCATGACACTAAGTGACCTTTTAAATACACATTCACAAGTTGTGGCTTTATGGCGTTTTAGTCACGGGCTGAAGCAACAGGTTTTTAGTCACGGGCTGAAGTTAGTTTTAAGTTAGTTGACAGTTGTCAAATGTCATAAAATCGTTAAAATAAAGTGCCTTTCTTGTGAAATAATACTAAATGTGAAAATTATTTTATTATCTCAATACAAAAATACAAAATTATTAAATAGTTTCTCAACTCCAATATTTAAAAAGTTTATATGAACATTGTACTGACCTTTTAATTTAACTAAAATTAAAACATTTACTGGGAAAAACTGTCCATTTTCAAGGAATACATTTTGATTTACAACCTTTATAATCTGTGTTTATAAAATATAAAAATTTGACATTTGACTGTAACACACAGATTCCCCTATTGTTTCATAGATGCTCTCTATACAAATATTTGATTTAAATCATTTTAAGATAATAATAAGTATTTGTCGTAAAAAAGTATAGTATGCACCTCGTTTATAAACTTTTCTATACACTCATTAATTTAAGCACTCGCTTTTAAGCTCGCTCGTAAATTCGTGTATAAAATGGCGTTTATCAAACTTGATACATAATATACTATTACCACCTAAAAGTTGCTGTGCAGTACTTATTTTCGTACAGTATGTACCTAACTTAATAATTTTCTCCGCTAAAAGAAGAAAATTACCCATTAAGGTACCTACTTATTTTTATAATTTTTTTTTACAAAAGGATTCTATCAATTTTGACGTAAATATTGTAATTTCGTAGATAATCGCGATTTTATCCCAAAATTGTAATTTTTAGACAAAATTTACTTTTTTTTATGTAACAATTTTTTTTTCGTAAATTTTTTAGAAAATTTAATTGTCTACAAAAAGTCCTTATCAATTTTGGCATTAATATTGCAGTTTCAGAGATAATTGCGATTTGATCTTAAAATAGTCATTTTTTTAACAAAACGTTTTTTAATATAGGTAGCTACTTAATTTAAAAAAAAAATCGTTATAATTTGTAATTTTTTAGACAAAACTTACTTATTTTATTACTAAAAATATATTTTTTTAATATTTTGTTTGTGTAAAATTAAAAGTAACAAAATGTTTTTAGTGAAGCTATCTGTTAAGAAATTGAATTGTCTACAAAAAAGGTCAATTTTGACGTAAATATTGTAATTTTGCAGATAATCGCGATATTATCCTAGAAAAAATTTAGGCAAAAATTGTAATTTTTTTGACAAAATTTACTTTTTTAAGTAATTTTTTTAGTAAACTTATTTGTCTACAAAAAGGTCCTTATCAATTTTCGCATATATAATGTTTACAAAACTTATTTAAAAGTTCTTAAGAACTGTTTTGCTAGCTATAACAAAGTGTAAATCGAATAAATAAATAACCAAAAAAGCAAAAAAACCTTTTTGTTATACTTAATTTGTTAGCAAATTGTAATGTCTACAACCAAAGTTATTATAATTTGTAATTTTTTTGACAAAATTTACTTATTTTATTGGTAAAAATATATTTTTTTAATATTATTATAATAATTAGTTAAGAAATTTAATTGTTTACAAAAAAGGTCCGGATCAATTTTGACGTAATTAATATTGTAATTTCGCAGATAATCGCGATTTTATCCTAAAATTGTATTTTTTTTTGACAAAATTAATTTTTTTAAGTAATTTTTTTAGTAAATTTATTTGTCTACAAAATCAATCAATTTTCGCATAATATGGCAGTTTCAGAGATAATTGCGATTTTATCTTAAAAAAGTTCTCATGAACTGTTTTGCTAGGTATTCCAAAGTGTAAAACAAAATTAATAAATAAATTAGAAAAAAAGTTGTTTTGACATAGGTATCTAATTTGTAGAAAATTTGTATGTCTACAACAAAATTTACTTATTAGTAAAAATACATTTTTTTAATATTTTGTTAGTAAAATTTAAAGTAACAAAATATTTTTAAGTGACGCTATCTGTTAAGAAATTGAATTGTCTACAAAAAATATTTTAATTTCGCAGATAATCGCGATTTTATCCTAAAATTGTTATTTTTTTGACATTTACTTTTTTAGTAAATTTATTTGTCTACAAAAAAGCGATTTTATCTTAAAATTGTAATTTTTTTAACCAATTTAAAAGTTCTCATGAACTGTTTTGCTAGCTATAACATAGTGTGAAACGAACAAATAAATAAGTAAATAAGAAAAAAAGTAAAAAAAGTTTTTTTGATATTCCTAATTATGTCTACAACAAAAGTCGTTATATTTTGTAATTTTTTTAGTTTGTGTGAAGTTATCCACACATCTCCAGCCACACATTCCTAAACAGGTTCGCGGTCGGCCGCTAGAGCGCGCAGCGCACAGTGTGTTGATTATTTATAAAATTGTGTATAGTTTTAATTTAATATCTTTTAACAGCAATTTATCAAGCTCGCGATTAAAAATTAAGATTTAAATACAAGTAGACACAGGGATATAGAGATAGAGACAGAGACCTTTTAAACTTCGTGTATTTCAAGTAATTTGTAAGATGTTTTAAAAAGTGAGGTTAGAACAGCAAGGCAAAACAGCAATTTGTAAAGTGTTCGATTATTAATACCATTAAAAGTTAAATTCAATTCAAGGAGGCTTTATTGAGAAACATCTATTGGTGTAAAATATTAAATTTGCGTATTTTATAAAAATGTTTCTATAGTCTACAGTTCTATATTGTATGTGTTGATGGCGGTTTGCAAGGGCAGGTAAAAAATTACGTGATAAGGGGGCAAAAGTTAACATATAAATAAAATAATTTTAGGGGGTTTTGTTTAGGCACATCTTTTGGGGTGGGCACAGGGAATTTTTCAAATTTGCGTATTTTATTAAAAATTTATAAGTTATTTTAAAAGTGTGGATAGGGGGTACGTAAGGGCAGGCAAAGAATTTCGTGATAAGGGGGCAAAAGTTAACATATAAATAAAACAATTCCAGGGGGTTTTGTTTAGGCACATCTTTTGGGGTGGGCACAGGGAATTTTTCAAATTTGCGTATTTTATTAAAAATTTATAAGTTATTTTAAAAGTGTGGATAGGGGGTACGTAAGGGCAGGCAAAGAATTTCGTGAAGAGGGGGCAAAAGTTAACATATAAATAAAACAATTCCAGGGGGTTTTGTTTAGGCACATCTTTTGGGGTGGGCACGGGGAATTTTTAAAGTTTGCGTATTTTACTAAGAGTTTATAAGTTAATTTATACGCGTGGATAGGGGGTTCGTAAGGGCAGGCAAAGAATTTCGTGATAAGGGGGCAAAAGTTAACATATAAATAAAACAATTCCAGGGGGTTTTGTTTAGGCACATCTTTTGGGGTGGGCACGGGGAATTTTTAAAGTTTGCGTATTTTATTAAAAAATTATAAGTTATTTTAAAAGTGTGGATAGGGGGTACGTAAGGGCAGGCAAAGAATTTCGTGATAAGGGGGCAAAAGTTAACATGCAAATAAAACAATTCCAGGGGGTTTTGTTTAGGCACATCTTTTGGGGTGGGCACAGAAAATTTTTCAAATTTGCGTATTTTATTAAAAATTTATAAGTTATTTTAAAAGTGTGGATAGGGGGTACGTAAGGGCAGGCAAAGAATTTCGTGATAAGGGGGCAATAGTTAACATATAAATAAAATAATTCCAGGGGGTTTTGTTTGGGCACATCTTTTGGGGTGGGCACAGGGAATTTTTAAAGTTTGCGTATTTTATTAAAAATTTATAAGTTATTTTAAAAGTGTGGATAGGGGGTACGTAAGGGCAGGCAAAGAATTTCGTGATACGGGGGCAAAAGTTAACATGTAAATAAAACAATTCCAGGGGGTTTTGTTTAGGCACATCTTTTGGGGTGGGCACGGGGAATTTTTAAAGTTTGCGTATTTTACTAAGAGTTTATAAGTTAATTTATACGCGTGAATAGGGGGTTCGTAAGGGCAGGCAAAGAATTTCGTGATAAGGGGGCAAAAGTTAACATATAAATAAAACAATTCCAGGGGGTTTTGAAATAACTTATAAATTTGTAATAAAATACGCAAACTTTAAAAATTCCCTGTGCCCACCCCAAAAGATGTGCCTAAACAAAACCCCCTAGAATTGTTTTATTTATATGTTAACTTTTGCCCCCTTTTCACGAAATTCTTTGCCTGCCCTTACGAACCCCCTATCCAAACTTTTAAAATAACTTATAAATTTGTGATAAAATACGCAAACTTTAAAAATTCCCCGTGCCCACCCCAGAATTGTTTTATTTATATGTTAACTTTTGCCCCCTTATTACGAAATTCTTTGCTTGCCCTTACGAACCCCCTATCCACACTTTTAAAATAACTTATAAATTTGTAATAAAATACGCAAACTTTAAAAATTCCCCGTGCCAACCCCAAAAGATGTGCCTAAGCAATAACCCCTGGAATTGTTTTATTTATATGTTAACTTTTGCGTCCTTATTACGAAATTCTTTGCCTGCCCTTACGAACCCCCTATCCACGCGTATAAATTAACTTATAAACTCTTAGTAAAATACGCAAACTTTAAAAATTCCCCGTGCCCACCCCAAAAGATGTGCCTAAGCAATAACCCCTGGAATTGTTTTATTTACATGTTAACTTTTGCCCCCTTATCACGAAATTCGTTGCCTGCCCTTACGTACCCCCTATCCACACTTTTAAAATAACTTATAAATTTTAAAAAAAAAATGCAAATTTGAAAAATTCCCTG